GAATTGGGAATTCCTGGCTGGGAAGGAGATTGGGAATTCCTGGCTGGGAGGGAGATTGGGAATTGGGAATTCCTGGCTGGGAGGGAGATGGGGAAGTGGGAATTCCTGGCTGGGAGAGATTTTGGGAATTGGGAATTCCTGTCTGGGAGGGATTTTGGGAATTGGGAATTCTGGCTGGGAGGGTGGGCTGGAATTCCCAAAGAAGCTGAGGCTGCCCCTGGCACAGCCACGGCCTCGCGGCTGCCAGAGCTCCCGGAGCGCGTCCCGATCCCAGCGGGACATTCCCGATTCCCAACGGGACATTCCCCATTCCCAATGGGACACTGCCCATTCCTCCGGGACATTCCTGATCCCCAGCAGGACACTCCCCATTCCCAATGGGACATTTCCAATGGAACATTCCTGGTTCCCAATGGGACATTCCCAGCGGGACACTCCCGGTTCCCAACGGGACATTCCCGGTTCCCATTCCCGATCCCAGCGGGACACTCTCGGTTCCCAACGGGACATTCCCGGTTCCCATTCCCGATCCCAGCGGGACACTCTCGGTTCCCAATGGGACATTCCCGGTTCCTATTCCCGGTTCCCAATGGGACATTCCTGGTTCTCAATGGGACATTCCCGGTTCCCATTCCCGATCCCAGCGGGACACTCCCGGTTCCCAATGGGGCATTCCCAGTTCCCAAAGGGCCATTCCCAGTTCCTATTCCCAGTTCCCAATGGGACATTCCCGGTTCCCATTCCCAATCCCAGTGGGACATTCTCCATTCCCAATGGGACATTCCCGGTTCCCATTCCTGATCCCAGCAGGACATTCCCCATTCCCAGTGGGACATTCCCAGTTCCTAATGGGACATTCCGGTTCCCATTCTTGATCCCAGCGGGACATTCCCTGTTCCCATTCCCTGTTCCCATTTCCTGGTTCCCATTCCTGGTTTCCACTCCAGGTTCCCATTCCCTGTTCACATTCCCGATCCCAGCGGGACATTCCCGATCCCAACGGGACATTCCCGGTTCCCATTCCCGATCCCAGAGGGACATTCCCTGTTCCCATTCCTGGTTCCCATTCCCTGTTCCCATTCCTGGTTCCCATTCCCGATCCCAGAGGGACATTCCCTGTTCCCATTCCCGGTTCCCATTCCCGGTTCCCATTCCCGGTTCCCATTTCCCGGTTCCTATTCCCGGTTTCCACTCCCGGTTCCCATTCCCTGTTCCCATTCCCGATCCCAGCGGGACATTCCCCATTCCCATTCCCGATCCCAGCGGGACATTCCCTGTTCCCATTCCCGGTTCCCATTCCCGATCCCAGAGGGACATTCCCTGTTCCCATTTCCCTGTTCCCATTCCCTGTTCCCATTCCCATTCCCTGTTCCCATTTCCCGGTTCCCAATTCCCGGTTCCCATTCCCGATCCCAGAGGGACATTCCCTGTTCCCATTTCCCTGTTCCCATTCCCTGTTCCCATTCCCATTCCCTGTTCCCATTCCCTGTTCCCATTCCCGGTTCCCATTCCCTGTTCCCATTCCCATTCCCTGTTCCCATTCCCTGTTCCCATTCCCGATCCCCGCGGCCGCTCCCCTCAGCGGCACCAACCACTGCGCGCGGCCCGGGGGGGGGACCGGCGCCACCCCGGCCGCGCTCGGCACGTACCACCGTCACGCAGAGGGGGGGGTACACTGACCCGGCGCGTACCACCCGCGTCCGCCTGAGGGGAGCTCTACCGCCACCTCCCGCCGAGTTGGAGCTGCGGCGCGCGAAACCACCCCCTCCTTCCGGCGCTGTTGGTGCCGCCCGGCGCAGCGCGCACCTCCCCCGGCCCCACGTGAGCGCTCTCCCGGCGTGCCCCGCGCTCGGCCGCCGCAGCCGCCGCTCCGCTCCGCGCGCCGCGCTCCCGGCCGAGCCGCCCGCGCCGCCGCGGGGCCGCCCCGCTCCCCGCCAGCATGTCCGGCGGCGACTCCACCGCCGCGGCCGCCGCCGCCTCCCCGCAGCCTCTGCCGTTCTCTCTGCCGAAACCGCCGCCCCTGATGCAGCTGACTCCGGGCGACGCGGTGCGGCCGGTGGGCTCGGGCGCGGACCAATCGCCGAAGAGCGCGCGGCTGGCGGCGCGGCCCGATTGGCCGGCGGGGAAGCCGGTCAGCCTGCTGGCGCCGCTGCTGCCGCCGCGCGGCGAGCCCGAGCCGCTGCTGCCCTTCGGGCCCGCCGCGCCGCGCCCGCCCCTGCGCGGCCGCCTGCTGGGCCGCTGCGGCGGCTCGCTGCTCAGCCCCGCCATGCGCCCCGCCGCCGTGGACCGCGCCTCGCTCATGGTCAGTGCCGCGCCGGGCCGGGGCAGCGGGGGCAAACCCATGAACGGGCTCGGGGAGCTGGCCCGCGCGGGGGAGGAGTTCCTGCTCCTGTGCAGGTGGGATTCCTGGGCATCGGTTCTTGTCTGTAAAACCCTCTCTGGGCACCTGGAGCCCGCACAGGGGAGGAGTTATTGCGTGTGTTCCTGGGCATCAGTCCGTGCCCATCAGACCCTCTCTGGGCATCTAGAGCCCGAATAAGGAAGGAGTTCTTGCTTGTGTTCCTGGGCATCAGTCTCTGCCCATCAGACCCTCTCTGGGCACCTGGAGCTCATACAGGGAAGGAGTTCTTGCTTGTGTTCCTGGGCATCAGTCCGTGCCCATCAGACCCTCTCTGGGCACCTGAAGCCCACACAGGGAAGGAGTTCCTGCTCCTGTGCAGGTGGCACCTCGTGGGTATCGGTTCTTGTCTGTAAAGCCCTCTCTGGGCACCTGGAGCCCGCACAGGGAAGGAGTTCTTGCTTGTGTTCCTGGGCATCAGTCCCTGCCCATCAAACCCTCTCTGGGCACCTGGAGCCCACACAGGGAAGGAGTTCTTGCTTGTGTTCCTGGGCATCAGTCCCTGCCCATCAGACCTCTCTGGGCACCTGGAGCCCACATAAGGAAGGAGATCCTGTTCCTCTGCTGGTGGCATTCCTGGGCATCAGTCCCTGCCCATCAGACCCTCTCTGGGCATCTGGAGCCCGCACAAGGAAGGAGTTCCTGATTGTGTTCCTGGGCATCAGTCCCTGCCCATCAGACCCTCTCTGGGCACCTGGAGCCTGCACAGGGAAGGAGTTCCTGCTTGTGTTCCTGGGCATCAGTCCGTGCCCATCAAACCCTCTCTGGGCACCTGGAGCCCACACAGGGAAGGAGTTCCTGCTCCTGTGCAGGTGGCATTTCTGGGCATCAGTCCCTGCCAGTCATCTGCATAGAGAAGGAATTCTTGGTCCTGTGCAGGTGGCACTTCCTGGGCATCAGTCCCTGCCCATCAGACCTCTCTGGGCACCTGGAGCCCACACAAGGAAGGAGTTCCTGCTCCTCTGCTGGTGGCATTCCTGCGCATCAGTTCCTGTCTGTCAAACCCTCTCTGGGCACCTGGCACCTGTATAAGGAAGGAGTTCCTGCTCCTGTGCAGGTGGCACTACCTGGGCGTCAGTCCGTGCCCATCAGACCCTCTCTGGGCACCTGGAGCCCACACAAGGAAGGAGTTCCTGCTCCTGTGCAGGTGGCATTCCTGGGCATCAGTCCCTGCCCATCAGACCCTCTCTGGGCACCTGGAGCTCACACAGGGAAGGAGTTCTTGCTTGTGTTCCTGGGCATCAGTCCCTGCCCATCAGAGCTCTCTGGGCACCTGGAGCCCACACAAGGAAGGAGTTCCTGCTCCTGTGCAGGTGGCACTTCCTGGGCATCAGTCCTTGCCTGTCACCCACGCAAGGATGGAGTTCTTGCTTCTGTGCAAGTGGCACTTCCAGGTGGCACTTCCTAGGCATCAGTCCCTGTCCATCAA